TGTGAAGACATAGTCTTGGCAACTCACAGGGGCAGTTCTACCCTGTCCCATAGGGCACTACGCATGGGCATCGACTCGATGGCAGTGCGTTTGGGTTTTGTTTGCTGCTTACAAACAGAAAGAAATGAGTTTGCTGCGCAGGGGGGTGGGGGGTGGGATCATTTCCCGGAGTAAGTACTGTAATTCAGCTTAAGCTGCGGAGGAGCTCCCTCCGGTGGGCACGACTGGGAAAACAGGCAGCGCCCCATTCTCCTGCAGGCGAGGTCCTTTCCTACTGCAGAGGAAGAGAAGCCAGCGGAGCCAGAGAAGGTGGTCAGAGAAGGACCAGAGAAAGGAGTGATCCGCAGTTTCAAATGTCAGAGAGGTCCTGCAGGGTGAGGGATGAAAAGCCAACGCGGGCTGCCCAGGATTGTGTATCACTAATTAGTACAGTGGGCCCTTTGGGGCTGGCCATCATCTGGCTGCCTTTTGAGACAGCTGAAAAACCGCATCCCTGGTGGCGTAGTGGGTAGTGGTTAATGATCGGGCTGCTGACTGCAAGGTGAGCAGTTTGAGACCACCTGCCGCTCTGCGGGACCAAGAACGAGGCTTTTCTACTCCAGTACAGAGTTTGTCTGGGAGACCCACAGGGGCACTTCTCACCTGGCCTCTAGGGTCATCGTCATGGGTTGGAATGGAATCTGTGGCTGTGAGCTTAGAGTTTGGGAGGATGGGAGGGAAAAGTACTCCTCCACATCAGAAGGATCCGATTTGGAAACTCCACTAATCGAACCAGCCTTTACTTTAAGCACAGCTGTAGCAGATTAAAGGAATTCAAAAACTGCCTTGGACTGAAGGCTGAAACACCCTAGTGCGGGAAGCAGATGACTGCTATCCCAAGGTTTATGGATTTGGAAGCCATTGGAGTCTGATTCCAATCTCTTGCTTTGAAGGTGCTCGATAATCATTTTATTGGGGGCTCATACAACTCTTACCACAATCCATACATACATCAATTGTGTAAAGCACATTTGTACATTCGTTGTCCTCCTTATTCTCAAAACATTTGCTCTCCACTTAAGTCCCTAGCATCAGCTCCTCATTTCCCGCCTCCCTTCCCGCTCCCCGCTCCCCGCTCCCTCATGAAACCTTGATAATTTATAAATTATTATTTTGTCATATCTTGTCCAATATGGACAAGGCATCATATCATGTCCGACGCCTCCCTTCAATCACTTTTCTGTTGTCCCTTCCCAGGAGGAGGTTATATGTAGATCCCTATAATTGGCTCCCCCTTTCCACCCCAACCTCTCTCCACCTTCCCAGTATCGGCGCCACTCTCACCACTGGTTCTGAAGGGATCATCCGCCATGGATTCCCTGTGTTTCCAGTTCCTATCTG